TGGAAGCATAGTCCACACCTCGTCAACTCTACTGATCAAAGAGGCAACACAACATGGAATTATCTTCTATCAACAAACTGGGGTAGATTTTGAGGACAGACGTCGAGCTTTCCAACAGCAATCGACGTCATATCCCAAATATCGTTCTTATTTCCTATTGGCATGGGGTGTGTAGGAAATCTGAACCCCCATAATCAAATAAAACACCTAGTATTGTCACAGCTTGACGCTGGGTCAACTTTCAAAATCAAAAATCATCCCATCGCCTTCCCGAACTACAACCGATCTGATTCTCGTTACATCCGAGATATGTAGGAAAACTCAACACAGTGCCCGACCGCATCCGCATCGAAATCCATTCAAATCGATCCATCCATTATTCAACATTCACGTCCCGTGTTATCACAGTCTGACATTGGGGAAATCTTGGAAGCAATGTCGAGATCACACAAACCTTTTCGTCCTCGAACATTCGTCTGCCACTCCATGATGCTACGATTCATAAGTAGTAGTCAACATCTCAGAACTACACGCGACCTGATTTTCGTTCAACCCGAGATATGTAGGCAACTCAAATACCAGAGTTCGGTCATAAAGAGGGGGAGTTATTGACACTCAGTTTTGACCCTCCGTATTTAAAAATTAAATTTTGCAGGCTTCCTTGTCAAAAAATAATAAAATATAGCATTTTTCACATTTTTAACTATAATGCAATTTATTGATAATTATTCCTATTTTTAAAAAATATGGAAATTTCTATCATTTATTGCAATTAGTTAAATGCTACAATTTTTGGTGCATTTTTCTAAACTTCGAACAATTTATTGATGATTGTCCTATTTATCAAATATTAGGATATTCTATCAATTCATTATCTTTTCAAAAAATAAAAATAATAATTACTACGTCATCGAAGTAGTTACAATTTTAAATAAATACTACAATATTTATTGATTAAATAAACATTTTTCTTATATAGCATAGTCTATTAATTACACGGAAGCCAGTAGAATTTAATACAAAAATACGAATCAAGTCCGGTCAAATTGAATGTCCCGTCAACATATGATCTGACAAGACATTTATGTAACTAGACATTGATGCGACATGACATCGATGTAACTTGACCTTCTTATATTTTTGACCAATATAAATAATAACATGTCTGAACACGCAGGGAAAACATCCCGCACCATGTCTGTAGAAACAATACAACTCCTCGACACCCAATTGACAACAGGCGCTCCCCGTCGAGTAAGATAGAGTAGGAAGGAAATAAAGGCACAAGAATCAATGGAATCAAACTGCACGATGAGGAAATCAAGAAGGAAAGTGCTCCTAACAGCCCTGTAGCCTCTCGAAAATGAGTACAGATGTCTCTGTACCGATACGCAAGACTCTACTAGACTTGCTCATGACTCGTGAGACCTAAGTGAACCTAACGCTTTGATACCAAGCTGTCATAACCCAAAATCCACTATAGGTCGTGATGGCGCATAACGCCACCGTCAGGCAAACCAACGGTGATTTACAAATTTAACTACTCATTATAGTATTTTAAAATCATAATTTTTCCTTAATTGAACAGTATAAAATAGAATTTACAAAGTAAATAAAAAATGTTTACAAGAACCATCATAATGCGTACCCAGAAGGAAACCCCCAAAACCCGGTGTCATAAGTGCATGAGCATCAATTAGAAAATATAATAAAATACAACATATGTCTAGAATACAAATTAGACAGGAAAATATAAATAACTCTAATAGGGATTCTGTAGGCTGCGGAGTGTGACATGGAATGTAGCTCACAGTAAAGTCCCCGCAACAGCTGCGCCGTTGCGCCCAAAAGACCATCAGACATATATGTACCTGCACAAAAAGTGCAGCAAGTGTAGTATGAGTACGTAAATCAATACATACCCAATAAGTATATAGCCTAACCCCAGAGAAGTAGTGACGAGGGGTCGACATCGACACTTACTAGTTGTCTAATAAGACAGATACAATAGAAGTAAACAGGTGCGAGACAAAGTAAATAAGCGAAATAACAAGTATAACACGTGGTACAATCCTCCTTTCAGCAATAACTCAAACTCTCAGCTAGTAGCTACCTCCTCAATTGGAGTATATATATAATGGTCCTTACCAAATAGGTCGTCACAGTTCAATCAGGAAAAGCTCACAGATATGCTGGCTTCTTGCCAACTATTATGCACGACTTCATAAGAATATTTTATAAAAATGCCGAGGCGTACGCCCCGATCCATCATAATATTTTCGAACCATAGATACATCTATTTTATTACCGAGGCAAATGGCCCGCTCCCATGAGAGTGTGGTACATAATCCTGCCGAGGCGTGCGGCCCGATCCATCATAGTATGCAACTGCCGAGGATCGAACGGCACGAACCACAGATGTATCTATCCTGCCGAGGCAAATGGCCCGATCTCACTAGAATAAGAAGCTTTGATGGGTCCTTGACCCCACTCACGAATAGACGTGTGAGTTATAAATTTGTAAGGGAAACTTATTTATAAGAACGCATAACGCGGGAGGAATTCGTAAGAGGAGTATAATTATATAGCAGCTAATCATGAATCCCATCAAATCTCTACATTATTAAGTCCATTACTCTACACAAGTCTAGTCTCATGTCGTAACGTAAAATAAAGGAATTTAATAAGCAGGAGACAACTCAAGTAGTATAGCTATAGCATGGTGTGAACCTAAGTCTACCCGGACGTGATATGAATCTAGCTATGCACAGACTCTCGTCACCTTGTGCGTACGTAGCCCCCGCAATAAGTAACACATAACAAATAGATCACCTAGGGGTAGTTTTCCCCTCACAGAATTTGACATGATACTTACCTCGCTCCGAAGTTCCATAACTGGCTCCAACGCCCCTCAAACACCCCAAACCAAATCTCGTCGATCCAAAACTATTCAAATAATGTGCAAACCAATCAAAAGATACTCTAATACCCCTAATTAATCAATTTAACCAAATTTCCAACTCCGTTCGAAAAGTCTATAAAACCAACCCTCGGGCCCACGTTGCCGAATTCTGAAAATTTTTGAAGGTAAACTTTACCCATAACACCACGAACTAAAATATATAACTTATTCCAAATTCCATGTCTAATTTCGTGGTCAATTTCCAAAAATATAAATTCTAGGTTTTTTTACCAAAACCCCCCCAATTTCTACTAATTTCCATGTTTAAATCCTTATACAAACCATGTATTTAGTGGGAATCACTTAGCTTGTGTTGCTTGATGAAAATCTCCCCTTGAAGCTCTGCCCATCCAACTTTCCACATCTGCGGAACACCAGCCGCACCTGCGGAATTTTCATCACAGGTGTGGTCCTAACTTAGTCCAGGCACGTCCGCATATATGGACCCAAATGCGAATCTGTGCTTCCGCTTCTGCGGCCAAGAGGCGCTTCTGTGCACGCGCTCCTATGGACCATGTCCGCTTCTGCGCATCTGCCGCTGAAACCTGTCAAATCAAGTCTGATTGACCTCAAATTTTGCACACAAGTCATAATTGATATTACGGACCTACTCCCATGTCCATAATCGGAATTGGACCCTGATATCAAAAAATTCACTCCCTTTCAAACTTTCCAAAAATTATCAAATTTTTAACTTTCACCAATTGACGCCGAAATGACCTATGGACCTCCAAATCAACATCAGGATATGCTCTTAAGACCAAAATCATAATACGAACCTGTTGGAACCTTTAAATCCCGATTCCGAGGTCGTTTACTCAAAAGTCACACCTTAGTCAATTCTTCCAACTTAAAGCTTCCAAAATTAGAATTTTCATTCCAAATCAACTCAGAATTTTCCGAAATTCAATTCCGACAACATGTACAAGTCAATATACCTGAAGTGAAGCTACTCAAGGCCTCAAACCGCTGAACGACTTGATAGAGCTCAAAATGACCGGTCGGGTCATTACACTACACAAACACAATCCCATCACATTTTTATAGGAGAAACCCTAAATATTTTTCATTCTATCATTATCCAAAATGGAGAACAGACGCTAACCCCTTTGAGAGCTCCATCTTCTGTCTCACTTGAGAGATCTACCACCAAGCTCCTCCCTCCCCCTATTTTCTTAGCCGGCCAGCCACCAGCAGCCATCGCTAGCAGTCATCCCCATTTACCCATTTTCCTAATCGTTTGTTAGCTTTGAGTGTTCGATCTCGTTGGCTTTCGATATATCCGAAAACTCAAACACCGGCTTCCTCCATGGAAAGCGGAAGATTTGGACCTCTATTTTCGCCATCTTCCGTTACTCACTCTCCTTTTTCTTCCTTCTTATAGGCTATCAAAAAAGGAGAGGTTTGGGATTTTTTGAATCTGGCCGGAAATGAAGCTAACGTCGGTGACTTCTTTGACGTTAGGCGTTACTCTGGCGTTCACCGTGGAAGTAACGCCAACAACCATTGCTTTTCGTCGTTCGGTGTCAACCTTTGTTATTTAGCCAGATCTCTGGCGAACCTCCTTTCTTTTGTGATGCGTTCATTATTTTGTGTGGCTTATTTGGTTATAGTGACATTGTGATACCATTGCTGCTGTTGGTTATTCTGGCCGGATTGACGTTTTTCTGGCAACCCCTTTTCGTTGTTGTTCTATATGCTAATGATAGACTTTGTGAGGGATTTGACATGTTTATTATTCTGCCTAATGTTGCCTATGTTGTGTTGCTGAAAGTGGTTCATTAAACTCACCATATTACTTCCTATTCGTTTGCTCGAATTTGTACCAAAGGCAAAAGATTTTGCTAAATAATTATCTTTGTATTTCTTTGTCCTTTGGATTCGTTCAACTGTTGTAATTTGTGACGATGCTGCCTATTTTGGACTGTTGCCTACTGTATTTTGACGATTTATGTTTCGAGAATTTTGCAGTGTTTGTTCTTGCCTCACTATTTGTTTCGATGATCCTTCGTAGTGGACCTTGACTGATTTGAATGAGATACTGCGTTGTTAAATTAGGTCGATGAGAACAAAATTTTTGAGGCCTTGTGATGAATTTTGACTGATAAAGGACATGTTACTACACCGTCCCTCGGATCTGAAACCAAAATACATTTATGAGGCGATGACGAAAGCCAAAGGAAAAATAAAAGACGAGAATGTGAATGTTTGTGCTTCAGGAAGCAACATGATTGGCCACCGGAGTTGCTACCAAGTCGGTGTTCGCGTTCTAATATCTTATTGCTATATGGCATACACCATCCGAGCCTCCAAAAAAAAATTTAAATAATTTTCAAAAGAATATTTTTCTATATTGTTTTAAAACTATTTTCCAAAAACTACTTTCCAAAGAATATCTTCAAAAACATTTTTTCAGAGAATTGATTTCCAAAATGTATTTACTTAACCATTTTCAAATAAACAAAAATAATTTTTCAAAACTATTTTCTTAAATTATTTTTAAATGACAATGTTCTAAAAATGCCTTTAAATAAAGTCATTTCAAGAAAAAATGAATTAGTTTATTATTTTGCTTTATACTTTACTAATAATTTTACTTTTCTCGTCTTGCGAGGTAATATCACATAAAGTTGCTTTCGGGAGACGTCACCCAAAGACGAAAAGATGTGTCCCCGTCAAAGCTCCCCGCTTTGCACTTCCTATTCTTGGATATATCCAAAACGTAAAGTATAGTAAAGTAGTAGATAAATATTGTGTTTGCTTGCTTGCTTTGATGTTTACCTATTTGCGAAACACTCAGGGTGAATTGCATTTAGAAATAATCCGGTTAACTTGTAACATTGTACATTACATAATTCACATAATTTGTATGGACACTTAGGTTTTCAAATATGTATATTAAACTTTGTTAATAAATTAGAATTGACATACAAATAATCAATTAGGTTAGTTGTATAGCTAAAATAAAACATGCCATCCTCTTTTCATGAAAATAAAAATAAATTATTTTATCGTATTTTCTTAAAGCTATACTAGCATGCCTTCGGACCTCTCTATATGTAAACTATTCTTCAACTAACACATTTTGAGTAGACATAATTTGTAAAGATATTAGAATTGAATTGGTGTGCTTTTATTTGAGCGACTTGGGCCTTGTAGTAATTTGGGCTTGACTCATAATTTGTGTTTCAAGACCATGAATCGAGAGATGGTCTTTAGTTACTCATTGAATGATAACTCTTTTTTAGTGCGAATATTTCTTTGTATTGATAGGATAATTTTCTATGTCATAAATATTTGGATACATTTTTTCTATACCATACTCATTACATTCATTAAATTAATTTTTTTAGTTTATTCATCATCTACTAAGATTGTTCAAAGATTATTCTTTTTCACTCTTACCAATTATTTAGAGTAAATTTCTATTTCTAGCTTTTCACGCAAATAGTTAATCTTTGCACATAAATCAAAAACTTCCAAATTGTATCCTTTAATTAATATACATTTAGTTAATTTATAAACATTCCACATATCACTACATAATATCTTATATTTTCATTCCTTTAACACTTACTCATTCATGCTAATATTTTCACACTTTGTTCCTTTGGTCAAATTACTCATATGCAAATAATCATTCCTTTTCTACTTAACTCATTAATGCATGTTCTCTCATACTTTAATCACTCATTCAAAGTTTTGTCTTCTAATCGAAGTAGATTTTTTTAATCTTATTCTTGTAAAATTCGAATCTTTGTTTAAATTCTTTGAGCCAATATGTAGTTTTAAGCACAATGCTTTTATATTATTCAAATCACACTACGATACGATTATTTAATATATTTTTACTACTTTTCATACTCCATTCTTGTTGCATATTTGTTTACATATTTAATCATTCTTTATCGAAATTAATTCACACTTAGTCTATTCTTTCAAAACATAACTCTTTGTACACTTTATATATTCTATATAATTCGATATACCTTAATCATTTCATTTTAAAAACATAAAGTTAATTGCATACTTTATTTGCATATGATATATTATGTATTTAATTATTCATTTGGATACATGTTAATCACTGTAATGACCCGGCCTGGCGTTTTGAGTATTTATAATTCCGTTCAGCTATTTCAAGTCTTGAGCAGCATCGTATGATGTATTATAACTTGCGTGAATCGTCGATTTTGATTTTCAGGTGTTTCGGAAGTGATTTAGAAGAATGAATTTCATGATTGAAGTTTTAAGTTGGAAGAGTTGAGCAAGTTTGACTTTTTAGTATTTGACATCGGTTTGGAGTTTTGATGGTTTCGTTAGGTTTGGATGGTGATTTTGGACTCGGACGTATGCCCGGATTTGCATTTGGATATTTCTAGAAGGTATCGACGCTTATTGGCGAAAGTTAAAAATTTGAAGGTTTGAAAAGTTCATAAGTTTGACCGGGCGTTGACTTTGATGAACTCGGGTTCGGATTGTGGTTCCGGAAATTGAAATATCTTCGTTATGTCATTTGGGACTTGTGTACAAATTTGAGTTCATTCCGGGGTGATTTGATATGTTTCGACGTGAGTTTTGAAAGTTGAAAGTTCAAAAGTTCATTAAGTTTGATTTGAGGTGCGATTCGTCATTTTGATATTGTTATGCGCGATATAAGGTCTCGAGTATGTCCGTGTTATGTTATGGGACTTGTTGGCATATTTGGACGGGGCCCCAAGGGGCTCGGGTAAGTTTCGGAGTGGAATCAAAGCATTTTTACTTAATGTTTGATTGTTGGTGTGTTCTGGTTTCTGGTGCCTCGATTGGTCTTCGCGATCACCAAGTATGTGATGCGATCGCATAGTGGAAAACTTGAAGCTGGGAAATTTCATAACTGCGGTCGCGGTTGTAGGGCCGTGATCGTGTAGCTTGGAGCTGGATACTATTCGCATTCGCATGGTGGAGACCGCGTTCGCGTAGAGTTGAGGCGGGAAGCTGAAAGCTGGAATTGTTCAACGCGTTCGCATAAGACGGGAAGCATTCACGAAGCTTGATCGCTTGTGTGCTTCACGTTCGCATAAATATTTACGCGATCGCATAGCGTATTGTTGGGGGGAAGTGTTGGTAGTTCTTCACATTAGCGAAGGTTGCTCCGCGATCGCGTAGGGTAATTTTGGGCAGTGCATTTTTCTTCTTCGTGATCGCGATGGTATTTCTGCGATCGCGATTCATTGATTCGTCCAGTGAATATAAAGTACTCTATTTCGGAGATTTCAGCCATTTTATCATATTTGAAGCTATGGAGCTCGGATTGAAGCGATATTTTAGGCGATTTTCACCACATGGTTTGGGATAAGTGTTCTCTACTCAGTTTTGATTTTATTTCATGAATCTATCTTCGTTTTTGGCATTTGATTGAAGATTTCAAGAGTGAAATTGGGAGTTTTTGTCTAAAGTTTCATAGAGTAAATTTTTGAGTTTTAAACATCGATTCGGAGTCAGATTTGAGTGAAACTGGTATGGTTAGACAAGTAATTGAATGTGTTGTCGGATTTTGTAGGTTTTGTCGGGTTCTAAGGTGCGTGCTCGGGTTTGACTTTTTAGTTGACTTTGGGCTTTTGATTAATGATTTGACCTTTATTATTTGGAATTGTTCCCTTAGGCATTATTTGATGTATTTGAGTTGCTTTTGACTAGTTTCGAGCCGTTCGGAGGTCGGTACGCGCGATATGGTATTTTTGGAGTATCGTTTGGCTTGTTCGGTATTGGATTTGGCTTGTTCGAGGTAAGTAACACTTCTAAATATGGTACTAAGGGTACAAACCCCTGAATATATACTTGTTATGTGTTGGTGTTGAGGTGACGCACATGCTATGTGACAGGCGTGCGGGCGTGCACTGTGTGAATTATGACTCGGTTGTTTCTGTGGTACCGTGTAGCTTCTTAATCATGTTGTTATCCATGAAATCTCTATGTGCTAGAGTAATTGAGCTGTGATCCATGTTAGAAATCATATTTAGGCTATATGCTTATTCTGTTGGGACCCACTGAGGTCATGTCTGCGGTTAGGTTATTTGCTTAAATTGCAGTTACATACTCAGTCATACTCATTCATTGGCGTATCATATCTCAGTCTCTATTGCTATTTATTGATACATAATATCATTATTTTGGGATGATTTTCATGATATTGTGAGACCGAGAGACTGGAGAGATTGATGACTGAGTGAAGTCGAGGTCCTGATTGTGAGGATGTTTATGGGATCGGGCTGCACGATGCAGCATGCTTTATTGATTCATGCCATGATTGGATTATTGTAGCCTTGGGTTGAATTTGCCTCTCCGAAGTTTGCACACCCACAGTGAGCGCAGGTACCTACTGAGTGTGAGTGTCGAGTACGAGTGCGAGTGCCGAGTGATTTGGAGGACTTAGTGACTGTGAGGACTGAGTATTGATACTCTGAGAGTATGCATATGGTTTTATCACTGCATTGCATTCGATATGCACACTTGACATACATGCATAGAGATGCATTCTCCTCATGTCGTACGATATTGCGTCATTCATGACATCACATACACATTGACATGTAGGAATAGAGATGTATTTTCCTCATGCCATTTGATAATAAAACATTTACCTGTTGAATGTTTTGGGAAAAATCACAGTTATACAAATTTATTCATATTTTGGAGATTTCGGTAAAAGAATAGGTTTTACTGTTGTACTTGAAAAGAATGCCTATTTTCCGGATCTGTGAATGAAATGAGCATTATATATCTGTGAATTATTACTTGTACCGCTTTAGTTATATTGTTATGAGTTGTTCCTGGCTATTGNGTGCAACCTAAAAAACATAAGTGCGGAAAAATAGCCTGACATCGGGGTGTCACTAAGTCATGAGCATCTAATAACCAAATCTAGAAACAGAGTCTACTACAGTCTGTGCCAAATGCCAATACAAGAGAGAAATGATAATAAGAAAGGAGAAACAAGGACTGCGGACGCAGGCAGCTACCTCGTAAGTCTCTAATAATTAGCCTGCGCATGAACTCAGCGACCGCCAGAACCGTACAAACCTGGATCTGCACATGAAGTGAGGGTGTAACATGAGTACAACCAACTCAGCAAGAAATAGAATTAAATAAGGAACTGAGAAACAGTGATGAGCAATAAAACAAATACAGTTCATTTCAACAGTTTTCCGTAAAGAGTGAACATGCTTTCAAATTCAGAGGTATAAGTCAAATCAGTCCGTGCTCAAGTAAAACAGATATAAATCTTCCAAAAATTTCACAACAACAACAGATAACGACATAAGTGCAACAATAAATAAAAGCAAGTATAGCCTCTCAAGGCAGCAGTCACTCAACTCATCTCAACAGCTCATACTCTCGGCTCTCATCCCTCAATACACACTCTCAATAGGTACATGCGCTCAGTGGAGGTATACAAACTCCGGAAGGGCTCCTTCAGCCCAAGCGCTATATTGCTGCGGCGTGCAATCTGATCCAATATTATTGCGGCGTACAACCCNCTATCTTAGTCACTAACCTCTCCATCCCCTCGGGCTCACAGAATATCATAATAATTAACCCAAACAGAGAATACAACAAGTATCAACAAGAAATGAGAGGGAATAGAGATATAACACGCAAGTAAGACTGACTGATTACAAGACAGCAATTGGCAGTCAATTCAACAAGTATACGACCGTTGCGGGTCCCATCAGTGATATCATATGGCCTAAGCATGGTTTCTAACATGAAAGGCACTCAATTGATCAAGGACAAGGAAAAACAAGTAATAACAATAGCTATTCGACTTTACAGTCTCACGGGACAGACCAAGTCATAATCCCTCACGGTGCACGCTCGCACTCCCCTCACCT